ATTCGGGAACAAAGTTGGAATGATATAATGAAACGAACTCATTTTCGTGGTCATTACAAAAATCGGATGTGGTTTTTTATTTTCGTCGTTGTATGCGATTGATCTTTGTCCACGAAAATTAATTCGTTTTATATCTGTCATAATAATTCAATCTAATAGAAATATTGAAACTAATTTTACTTAGCAATCAATGATCATGATCAACCGAATAATTCCGTATATACATAATTTTTCACTATATTACTTGAACGTTGAGCTCCAAGAAAAATTTTCAATGAACCCCACGATCGAACAGGCGAAAATGCAACGTATAATTGACCGTGGCTGAAAACATCTTTCCGAAGATCGATGCCTATTTCATCGAATGTTTGACCTTGGCTTTTATTGATTGTCATCGCAAAGGCGGGTCTCAGTGGAAATTGGCGTCTTTTAAAGGCGAAGGGGTAAGTATTCTCACAATACAGGGTTACACGGTGTATGAAAACCATTTCCCCTGCTTTATCACCGGTTAGAATTTGACAACGTAAAAGGTTGTTCGCGAGCTCAAGGACTTGTAATCGTGTTCCATTACAGAGTCCTTCATTGACACTCATGTTGCGTATCAGCATAACGACACAATTAATTCTTAATTTGAATTCATACGGCGGAAAATTTGGAGGATTCAAAGTATGGAGATATTCTGGGAGAATTTCATGACTTATGTCTCCATTATCACAATCTTCTGCACTGTCAATACTGGTATATATCTTTTGATTTGTCCTGTCGAGTAACTCAATGACACGATCATTAATTTCATCAACATCTACATTCCGTGCTGACAGAATTGCCACTTTGGCTAAATCTCCATATCTCCGTTCATTAATAATGTTAGTGAATATGTCAACTGTATCAGCAGATATTTGAGCAATGCACTGCTCTGGAGCTTGTATATTATTGTTATCATCGTTCAAAGTGCCATCGCCGACAGATAAAAGATATTTCGCAAATTCTCTCTCTTCAGGTAGAGCTCGCATATTTTCTGTTAAAGAAAATATTGTAAAGTGTTTCCACAATTAACTAAATTTAATAGACAAATCCACCAGTTCACTGCGCGTTGCATTTGGTTTTACTGGAAGTAATTGTCGGAAGTCTCCACCAAGAATCATGATCTTACCGCCGAAAGGTAGATCATTGTACATAAAGTCACGTAGAGTGCGGTCAACTAATTCTAGAGCAAACTTTGGTGCCATTGGAGCTTCATCCCAAATGAAAACGTCGACTTCTCGTAAATATTGAGCTTGCTTTGACTGATTCTTGAAATTCGACACAGAATCATGGAAAATTGGAACAGGCATTCCAAACGATTTATGAACTGTTTTCCCTCGAGGAAGTAAAATGGCGGCAATACCTGTAAACGCCATCGTATGTACATTTTTTTCTCTAGCCCGTAATAAATGATAGAGCGTAGTATAGACTAAAGTTTTTCCAGATTCGCCAGGTCCATCTATGTAGAAGTATGCTGTCCGTGGTTCCTGTGATTCAACAACATTTAACACCTCATCGACAATGTTTTGCTGTTTCAAATTTAGTTTCGCATATTGACTTTGACCAATAGTTCTGTGTTGTTCAAGTGGTATTTCATCATCACTTTCGATATCAATACTGTAGTCCAAGTCCATCAATTGTGGCATTGTAGGAAAGCGACTGATATCTGGCCCTTCGTAAGATAGGAGGCGATTCACTTCAGCATAAGCTCTCTTTTCGGCTTCTGGTGGGCCCATCAGCCTTTGCAAATCTTGAGACATCGCTCCCTTAAACTTTTCCCAGAGTACTTCGGGATTGATGGGGTTACAATATATCAAAATTCGTACAAATAAATGACGTAGTTGTCTAGGCATCATCCATACCTCTCCTTCTGTCATTGCACGTTCCCATTCTGCGTCATCCTCGATGAGACCTAAAGCTAGGCAAGCGCCTTGAAACATTTCATATACTTCACCACTTACTGTTCTGAGACTTTCATAACTTGTTGACCCTTTAACGTGTATCAATAATAAGCGCAGATGAAACAATTCACTTTGCGTTGGACTAACACTATACATCCGTCCAATGACATTGAAATGCAATTGACGTTTCGTCCATTTCGATACATTAACACCAGTTTGTTTTTTGAACACATAATGTGATGGAATTTCAGAATACGTGAATTGATGAGCATCAGGATCTCGTTCATTTAGAGCAAAATAATCGAGTAGCATGTTAGTTCGTTGCAATGCTGATATTATATCATTGTCGCTTGCATTATCATTGATAGTAACATGCTGCTGGTTTTCAAAGTGGATAGGTAACCGTACGATTGAGTGACTTTTGTTCTGCAAGGGTCGGCCTACGATTCGATCACGTGCTTCTGCCGGTCCTACATATCGAGCTTCTACGAAATTCTTGATTTCATCATGCGCAATTACATTTGCATTAGTTTCCGGATCAGTTATGGTAATACAGGCTGCATCATGACCTTTGTAAATGTATTTGTAGAGGTATTTAACCGATTTAATGCTCGTCACTACTTCAACGTTGATATGACAATCGAATATTTTCAATAATTTTGGGTTGTAAGGTACGACGTACTGGTTATCAGTTGAGTGACCACTGCGATCGTAATGACCTGTATTGCGTCTCCGATAAGTGGGATATCCATCGATGTCTCTTCTCGAAAATTTTTCGGGAATTTTTTAGAACATCGTCCTTTTTCATCTTTACACCAATTTCCGCACGGACCATGAATCATTTCCTTCAAGACTGTATTATGGAGAATAACGTCTCCTTCAGGATCTGGGATTTCAGCTGAAATGTATTTGTCAACTACGTCAGGAGCGGTAATTTTAGAATTCTGTTTCAAAGTGAGTAGTAGATGAACGTGAGGCAAGCCACGTTTCTGGTATTCAACTACATTGTCATATGCCATAACATCACCAGATAACTTCTCTTTCACGATTATTTCCATAAGGCGTTCCTTTTTCGAATGAAAAACACGTGAAACCAAGTCTGGTCTATCGGACGCAGTTTGACCTGGTAGTAAATTTTCTTGGATTTCAAGCCAGGTAGGGTTACATGTCATTGTAATAAACAGGTCGGGTTTTCCATATTGCCGTACGATTGCCATGGCATCTTGATAATGTTGTAGCATATTTCGGGGAGATCCCGTGAATGATGAGGGAAGGATTATAACTTTTCCCAACCTAGAATTCCTTTCATCTGCTGATCGATGCAAATAATCAAGCAGTCCTTGATAGGTATCAGCACGTAAGATTTTTTGATTGGCTCTACAGAAATTGAGATGGTCTTTTTCAATTTTGACATAATTGTCAAATACCCATTGTTGAAACAATCTTCCTCCCATTAAAAATACGTTTTGATTTCGAACTGCCATTCTATATTTGACATATTGGGCTCGGGAAACACATCGAGGTTTATTTACACATGGGATATTTGAAGACCATCCTCGTGTTCCGTATGGGTAAAACAACGGGTAAATCCAAGGTTCCACATTTGGATCTAAAGAATTGATAAATTGCAAGCTTTTGGTCTGTTTATTACGAACGCTAACATAAGACTCCGGAATGTTACCATCAGCCGTCGTTTTGAAAACAGCAGCGACCTCGTTGACTCTCTGTAAATTATAACGCCTGGGGTCCATACCCTGTTTTAGCGAGAACATAAGCTGCATTTCTGGCTCCTTTTCCACATCATCATTTTCCATGGCTGATTGTACTTCTTCATGCATCATTCTATAGGATTGGGCAAAAACATTGCACTCACGAATTGTGACATCTAGGGCTCTAACCAGGTCTTTACGTAATGTAGATATCTGTTGACAGCGAATATCTGTAGCTTCATTTTGATCAACAATAAAAAGTTGACCATGAGATGGGCTGTCGTTTTCAGAAAGGTATAAAGATGTATTCATCTGATAATAAATTTGTCCTTGTATCTTGAAGCAGTAAGGTCCGGAACGCCTATTATTAAAATTAATTAGATTGGCATAGAATGAAGCAAAACTAAACGAACTGTTATAGCAGCGAATACGTTCGAAAAAATGTTTGGATTCTTCATGATTCCCATTGAATAGATCGCATAAGAGTTCAGGAAGATCGGGGAGAGGATCTAGAGCAACTTCTCCATGATTACAACAGTCATTGAAAGAGTTTTTCTTCTGTGCTACTCTTTCATTTTCGAAATGCATTGCTTTACAGTGTACACATGGAATATTCATTTTTCCTATGTAGTACTTCTGTGTTTCTTCAGATGACATTTCAGGAATTGTCAAACGGGAGTGTCGACCGCGTCGAACTGGTGTATGCATTGCTCGGCCATTGTTAATTGGACGATTGATAACAGTACTACTGGTACTACTGGTTGAAGGATGTTCATTATGATTGACGGTCAAAGGACGAATGATATCATTCTGGTCTTCCGCGACGTTATCCTCAGTTAATATCGAACGATGATTGCGGTTACTATCAAGATTCGAAATATTCTGCTCAATATTCTTTCTCGTATTCATTCTTTCACGATATGCTCGCTGATAAGCAGCATTTTTTTCGCGCCTGATTCTTTGGCATTCTTGTTCTTCTTCTGGTATCCTTTGGACTTTTCTTTTAAACATATTTGAATTTCTCGAAACTTCTGGATCATTATGAATTAGATTATTGATAACCCTACTACTGGTTGAAAGATTTTCGTCGAAAAAATTGGTCAAAATAACAGTTCAGTGACTTTTTGTGTAATAATGAGAGTTCCTTATATTATCGTCAATGATAAAATACGAATGATTATATTTTTATATTTTTATTCTCTTAAATGTCTATCTTTTTTTACAGTAATATTTGTAGTGTATTAACTTTTACAGGATCTTTTTTTTGTTAATTGTTATCTATATTTCTCTACAATTATCTATATTTGTTGATATTTGAAGATTTATTTATTTATTTATTTATTATTTATTATTTATTATTTATTATTGTTTTGTTAAGCTCCTGCAGACCCACTGAAACAAAAAAATGAACAGTTTTTTAGTCAAATGAAATTGATTTGATGAATGATTTCTATGAATAGGAATATATCCAATGTTCACTTTTATTCAAGAATAACGTTGGACACATTATCTTCAAACCATAATGTAAGCATTTTTTCTTGTTTTTTTGGAAAAATGAAAAGAAAAAATGCACGTGCATAGACGATATATTTTCTACTCATGAAAATGTAACAGAGCATCCTACGCCCAACCAGCAATCGAAAGAAATCGATGCCTTTAACTTCGTCCGTCATTTAACTGGCATTTAATCTTTTAATACAAAGCATTAGAAAAATCGCGGTCGAAGTGGGAGACATAGTTTTCCTCCGATTGCTAATTTGGCGTAAAATTGCCGAGAGCATTTCTTGAAAGATTGCAGTGTGAATTCTTTTCAATAAGATGCAAGGATTCACTTAAATGAACATTCCTATTTTTTTCCTGAACTAAAAAACGAACAACTTACGTTGAAAACTTGGACTCGACTCCTTATTTGTTCCTCTTTCTCTGATACTAATTTTGATGGTTTTAATGGTGGCACACCCCACAATCAATTGCAACAATAATTCAATTTCTGCTGAAGACTGAATATCTACGTTTCTCTCCAAAGCCTAAAACAAAGTATTTGTCAAGTTCATAATTTGAATATCTGTAATAAATGTTAAATTTCCTCAATCATGTCACCAAATGAATTTATTTTGATAACAAATTTATAACCTACCTGCAGTCAGTTTCTGAAGGTTTTATCAACCCAGTTAAAATTTCATCTTTTTGGTTGATAGAACAAAGCAAAGAGATTCTCAATTATTTTATAAATTATTTACGAAATTTTCAATCTCGTTTTAACAACACTCAGTGGCGGAGTTTAGAAGCGATAAATTATCGGGATTTACGGCGTCAAGATTTCCTGATCGAAATCCCAGGGCGTTCTTTCTAGGTTATAGACATATCGACAGCTTAAACCGGAAGTTACGATACATGAAAATACCACTCATTTCCATGAATCTTAATATCAACAACTAATTTCTCTCGAGTAGAAAAAAGTTAGAACAGGAAAATTAGGCATGAAAATTATAAAATATCGTGGATTTTAATGTTGTTTATTATAGAAACAGATTCATTACATACAGCTTTATAAATCAACTCATTACAGTTTTTTTTAATCAAACCAAACAAACTTAAGCTATTTAAAAGTTTGTTGTTATACTTAATTTTTTTATAGAATTTTATATAAAAAATATATAATATTTAGATAAATATATTAATATTAATATTTATATTTATATAAATATGTAATATTTTATATAATTTTTTTTTACACTTAATTTCTATGCTTAATTTTCAAATCTTGTGGACATTGAAAATCCTGAGTTAAAACAATCACTCTTCAGTATTTTCAAGTCATCGATTTGTGAGGATGCAGAATAAAAGATGCTTTCTTTTTTTTCGTTTAAGCAATACCGATTGAATAATGACATTTTCGTCAAGAAACAGAATACAACAGGAACTTATATTATGTTATAAATGGAATATAGATTATCTATAAATTTTTCCTTGTATCTATCTTATAATATGAACACCATGACTTTCTCAGTATAATACTATCACATTCCAGATTCTATTTGCAAAAAATCACATTTCTCATTAGTAACGTTTAATTTAACTTTGCGCTGCATCACTTTAACCATAATTAAGTTATTATTTGTATCAATTTTTGCTTCTAACTTCATCGTTGCTTTACTTCTATACGTTGTTATATTACTTATTACAATCAAATATTGAAAGTAAAAAAAAAATACTCCTCACTGGGAATCGTATCAGATCGATTCTTAATTAGTCAAATCCCAATTGGGATTTTGTGCTAAAAAAAATAATTATATTCTAATTATCACTGGCACAGTCTTGACTCCATGTGTAGAATGAAAAAGGATTGACCATCCCCCGTTGCAAACTGAGAAAGCTATTGTGTATCAATAAGGTATGAATGAGGTTAAATGAAAGAGATCAAGGGGTTGGAACTCTCGAGATAAAAACGAATGTGAAAAGAGATTTTGTTATGGAGTCTAAGGATTTTTCCCAAGTCTCGTCATAGCCTTCAATCATTTTTCAGCTAAAAAAAAAGAAAAAAAGAATTATAATTTAGAATTTATATCAAACATTTATTTTCATGTATTTAATATTAATATTCCATAAAATGAGATTAAATATTGAATTCATCATACTGATGGTAATTACGATTTTCTCAATTTAATTACAGAGCAATGATCACCAATACGTTATAATTGCATTAATTAATAATATAAGAATGTTACATACCTTTTTCTCTGTGTCCATACTCCTATTGGAATTCTCCTTCTCATCATCTGCCGATCGTTTAGGATTGCAAGTATCCCTGTCAGGCTTTGGAGTGGGTATTTTATGAAAGGATAATCTCAATTTTTCAAGTGGCATCTTCGGCTTGGTTTCATCTATTATGACTTTGTTCATGCCATCAACACTCAAATACGATGATCCAGGTTTGGACATATCAATTTTCCCATAGAAAATAGCATATGCACCTTTCTCTAATTTGGAATCCGATGAATTTTTATAGTCACGTATCTGAACGCAAAGTCTGAAGTGTCCATCGACAATATTCCCATTGGCCATTGACATCTGTCCAATCGTCTTGAAGATGACAAAATCATTTTTCACGTAACCTCTAACCGCTTGAATTATAAAGAGAAAAAAGTTGATCAGATGATAACATAACATAAAATTATATAATGAAATTAACAGACAAAAGATAATGATGATAACATTTTTTATTATCAATTCCATATACCGATTGGAGTTTTTCCGTGTTCTAGACAATGCTCGATAGTTGTTTCTTGAAATTGCACTTCATTGAGTTGAGAATGGGCCAAATCGAATTTCCCTAGTACCTGTATGGTGCTGAAATCTTGCACATGTAGCTCTTGAGGAACGATAACTCCTTTCAGATCGCGGTCAAACTGAAATTTTACGTCTGCAACCGTACAACATGTGATTTCCACGATCTGAAAAATAGACAAAACATTCAAAAATCGTGTTCTTCTACTATTTGAAAAAATTAATAAATGAAAAATCTAGATATATAATAAAAATCTTTTTGCTAGAAAACTTAAAAATTCAAAATATTATCCTCGATAAAAATTATTTTGTACCTCAGAAAGAGTAAGCTTCGAACTCCACTCTAATGCCTTCTCTTTCCAAAAAACTACACGTACTTTACTGCCTTTGTTGTTATTAAGGATGATTTTATAAATCCATTTCTGGTATGTTTTGACAGAGCTAAGTGCCTCCACTGACTCGATGTATCCGACGATGTCCCTGAAATTTTTTTATTCGTTTTTTTGCCTATTGTATTATATACAGGGTGTCCCAGAAGTACGTGCCGATAATTAACCGGCATGTACAGGGGGTGAGTCTGACCCAAAAAGTCCTTTACCACTTTTGGATCGGAAGCACACCTCCGGAGATACTGGGGTAAACAGGACAGCCAATGACGCTGCCGCGTTAAGGGGCAGTACGTCGGTGTGGCTGTCG